TTGATCGTAGAAGGATCGCAAAGTTACTGTATATTGGTAGGCCTTGCCATACTTCTCCAATTATGTTCGCTTTAATGCTCACCATCGTGGGAGAAAATTCTATGGCGCCTGGTTGATTTATGAGAAGTGTCGAAACGTGAAAGAATCAACTGTAACGAGCTATTTTCATTCTACATCATTTCTTTCTCCATGAACCGGAAGAGTCGTTTTTCTGTGTACACAAATTCGCTCACAGTATCAATCAATATCACCAATGAAAGTGCCGAATCTGTGATCCAACAATGCGTTGTTTTCGGTTCACTTGAGCGTGATCGATAGTCGTTCTTGTGAGAATCCAACTATATCCATAATCCTGGCATAGGACAAAATGCAGCCAACTGTTTGCAAGTATTCGTTTTGCACTAGAGTTCTGTTTTCTTCGCCACTTTGGACATGCCTAGCGCTAATCATTGACAACGGACGTCAGTTCCACTTCAAGTCTGCACTTGTCAGTTCGCCGCTCTTTTATCTCCCATCTAGCTGTGCGTATCAGTACTCGTGCCCGGGAACTATCTAGACACCCGATCGACAACAATCCTCTTGCGTAGGTCGTTTTCATTATTTACCATGGCCAATCGATTTTCGTGATTTCTCATGCACCACCACGCTTTCTTCTAACTGTCACAGTTTAGTTTTGTTGGCCAGCGGTGCGGATAGCCTCCTCGGTATTTTGAGCCTGATTGTCTAGGTTGGGTCACGTGACGCTGACATTGCTTACTTCCATCAGGGGCCGACGCATATAATTCACCTTTTCGCAAGACCGGTGTACTACAATAATATTACCCAAAAACATCGGTGTTTACTGCCCAATAAAAATAATTCCACATGATTTCTAATAAGTACTTTTCCTTACGTATGAAAAACAACCATGGGGAGCCCATCATGAACTTTTGTTTCAGTTTTGTGACAGGAACCAGAATGAGCTGAACTGATCGAGCATCATGCACCGTCAAGTGTCCCGTGGATGACAACTGATTCTTATATTAACGACTGTTGCGTTTCCCCACTTAACGTGTATTTTGAAATTTGTTCAGTTTTGGCCATGGAATTGGCAGTAAATTTCAGGATATCCTTACCACGATTCTCAATATCTTATGAATGCGAACCCAGTTTGGCCCTCCGAAGCATTTTTACAACTAGACAGTTCGACCAAAATCCATAGCTTTTTAACCATGTCAAGACCCAGCTTCATCGTTCTTCCAAGGACATATTTTCATAGAGTCAGCTTAATTTGCTTGGTAGATCGGTTGTCATAAATAAAGGATTTCCAGAAGAGATGTTCGGGAAGGCACTTCTTGTCGCATCGCAGAGCTAAGCACCGATGCAAAAAGAAACTGTCCCGTTTCCCATACGGAAGCTGTCGTGTGCTTGTAACGTAAATATGGCCGAAAACCCTGCCAAAGACTTGTTTGGCCTCAAAGTTAAGACTCGCTCAAAGCACATCTCTAACTGCGATCGAAGTTTCCCAAAGAATAGCTGAACGGAGTTTGAAAACATATACAACCTACTACTTACTTACTTCACACAATCCCCTTGGGTGTCCACAGTAAAATCAAGCCAGCTGCTTGACAAATTTTGGATCGATTTTGAGTGAACTCGATAATCCAGAGGTTCAATGAAATAACTTCAATAGATACTGGATCACCAATGAAGCGCACACAACCTACTCAAATTTCAACCAAGCTGCCAGTTCCTCCCTCCGACTGTAATTCATTGCCACGTGACTGGGTCAGAGTTCGAATTTGCGACTGCTATTCGCATAAACTGCATCAATCCAACTTTGTTTTCAGGCGAAAAAACCTCGGTATTCATTGTAACAAATCCTGCGACGATTCGTTCTAAGAAATGAGGACACGCGATAGGTTTTAAAAGGGTCACTTTTTACAAGAACATTCAATCACTCTGAAACCAAGTCGTTAGCAAAAACGGCACTGTCGCGATGCCACTTGTGTAAATGCTTGACCNATTGCTTGTAATAAGACGCGTCCTTTTCATTTCTCAGACTCAAATTACTGGAGACAAGGATTGCAGCTTGATGCGCAAACAGGTTCTAGCCCAATCAGGCGGAATCTGAGCGACGTCCTCCTTACTCAGACTTCATGTGAAATGAGCGATTTTTGAATGATGTACACAACAAGAGGGCTTCAATCATGTTCGAATCCCAGGCTAACCGCAAACGGGTGTAGAATCCGTGTATGTATATACAGAGGTGAAGATAAGAAACAATTTACGTATGTATGTAAGTTGAAGCCATCATTTTCCAATGACCATACAGATGAAATTGGCTATTACGGTTTCTCATCTGATCTCTTCCTCGTGTATCTGAACAGCCAGTCGTACAAATGTCGTACAAAACGCTCACCAGGGTAACTAATTCTATCCAAAGGTCGCCTCAGGTTACAGTTCGTAAGATATTTGTCCTGATAGGAAACTACTTGTGAGGTATAAAATCACAAGTGAATTTGTTTCGCAAACCCATTCCGATTAGTGTTCGATAGAGCGAAATGTTGATTGGAACGTTTGGATGCAATACATCCAATGGGCCTCAACAAGGAAGAAGCCTATCGTGGGCTGTCAAAGAGATTTCAGGAACTTGTTACTACTTCTAACCTTGAAAATGCACTTTGATATCTCGAATGAAATATGGGGGAGGGGCAAACAAATTAAATAAAAGAATACTGCAAACAAGAAATCCAGCTGGGATTCACTTGAGTCCCTTGTTAAAACCAAATTGGTGTGTCAAAGAGTGCATTTCACAAGCTAATTTGGCTTCTCATCCGATACCCAATCCTGTAGACCTTCTGATCATACGATTTTGAACAACCCGAAATTCAGCAACAAGTAGAAAATACTACAGTCACAACTTTGTTTTGTTTTGTTAAGTGTATCTAACCATACCGCCCTTGGAAGTTAATGACACCGAGCACCTGTAAGCACAAAAAAAACAGCAAAATTAGCAAACGGCACTCTTTTTTGTTTCTTACGTAATTCGTTGAACATGCTTGTGGAACCACTGCTTCAAATCCAGCAGCATGGTTAATGGTTGTTCAGTTTTAGGCATTCATGTGAGTCCACCTAAAGAGTCCTCGCACATCCTAACTCATGGTTTTTTATAACTGTACACCAACGAATGGAATCGCTGCACCTGAACTTCGCTTTCATTGGGGCTCGTCAGCGCTCCAAAAATTGAGCGTGTTTCCAGCCCAATCCACGCGGGAAGGCAAACGTGTAGAGTCTTCCTATCTTTGGCGTGAATTCAACAGAACGATTGCATAAAGCCAAACAATAGTTGTGTGAATATGGCTTATGGATTTTAGAAAAACATCAAGAGACAGTGGCCAAATTTTCATCACTGTAGCTGAACTTAACTTGCATACGAATCACAACTGTTTGCTCTCGGCTATTCTAATTTTTTGTAAGGTATAAATTTGTCAGCCAAAAAGGATCAAAAATGCAATCATGGACATACTGTTATGTGCTTTAAACTAAGTAAGAGGCAACTACTCTCCAGGTTTCTGAGAAGTAAGAGGAAAGTCCTTTCACGTCTTTTTGTGTACATTGGACCACCGGCTCGAGCACTTTTATTTCAGGCGTGTTGATGTTTGGTCATTTTTTCGACTAGTTCATGCCCTCGCCTCACCTCCAAAATTATTGATTAGTTGCTTCCAGTAAAGGAATATCTGCTTTCCAGGGAGAAAGCTGTCCTATGGGTGTTGAAATTTGGACATTTGAAACAGCATTTGAATACCCGCAGGTTTTGCAAAAACCCGTCGTTCCCATCGAGTCCCTTGTACAGTCTTTTATATCTAAAGGCGTTACTGAACTCCTGACGCTGATTACGATAGCAACCAAAATACGTCAAGGAACACGTTTCTTGATATCTTTCTTATTTCAAAAGTGAGGCATCCATTGGCGTGTGTCGTCATATGATTCATACTCAATCTCACACAGAACACATCACCGATAGAAAGTGCGAAATAGTTTCACAATGATATATCAATCTTAGTCGAGTAACGCTTCGTTTGGTATATATATAAATATATATATACCTTCATTTTCTATACCCGTTGAAAGATCGGTATGAAGTGTGTCTGGCTATCGATATAAAATCAAGAGAACAGATATCGCACATAAAACATCCTAATTCAGCAAAGTACCCTCATCTGCATGCCAATTCGGTTTCAATAGGAGGCTCTTGTCGAATCCAGCGAAATCTCTCGTCTGTGGTGTTCCCAGACAACTGAATGTACTTCACTAAACTACCTCATCTCTCAGCTGGTACGATATTCGAGATATCGCGACACATTGTCCAGGCGTAATGACCTAATGTAAATCAGCTTCCAGCTCACTGTTTGGGTTTAAACGAAGATCAAAGTTGATGGTAATTTTTCCGCATGAAATGTAAATCTTTCTGCACCTTATCACAATCTGATTGCCAACTACTAACACTCAACGTATCCACTTCTCAAATTTATCATTCCGTTTGCATAAAACTGCATGCAAAATATCCCAGGGCTATATCGAAACAGTATGATTGGTCCGGTCCTGTACCGCCTTCCGATCGAAACAAAAGTGAGAAAACATGACTCAAAGCTTAAAATATACTGACAGATTTACACTCAGCTAAGACTGCCCTTAGAGTTTCGTGCCTTATCGCCACACAACATACTCTGTGTATGCCAAATAAACGTGTTGGCCGATGAATTAGCAAACAGTCGCTTTGAGAAATGTGTTAAAATGTTGATTGCCCTTTATCGACTGCATTAACAACGTTTCACGGGAGTTAATAAAATGCAAATTTGACACAGTGATGCTTCCCAGTAGTGTGTGAAAGCCGTAACACACAGGTAAATGAAAGATATTGACTTTAGTAAGCCTAACACAATAAATGTTGTCGCAAACAAACTCAACCGCATGTTGATCAAATTCTATCCTCCATCTCTTTCTCCAATTGTTCCCAGGCTATGGTCACAGTACACCAAAAACCGACTGGGGCAAGATATTCTGTATGTGCTACGCTGTACCCGGAATTCCACTATGCCTGGTCATGTTTCAGAGTATCGGTGAGCGAATGAACACTAGCATGACGTGGCTTTTGCGGCAGGTGAAGAAACAACTCTCTTGCAAATGTCGTTCCGTATCGCAGACAAATCTGATGTTGGTCAGTTTCACAACGGGAACTACGGTACTGGCTATCGGAGCAGTCGTGTTCTCTTGTTACGAAGAGTGGGATTACTTAGATTCTTTCTATTATTGCTTCATTACTCTGACTACTATCGGGTTCGGTGATTTTGTCGCATTGCAACGCAATAACTCCTTGGCCAGACGTCCGGATTATGTGGCATTCAGTCTTATTTTTATCCTTTTCGGTTTGACCGTGGTGAGTTCGGTGATGAACTTGGTCGTCCTACGGTTTCTGACTATGAATACGGAAGATGAACGACGTGACCAACTGGAAGCTGCGGCGCAAGCGCAAGAACTGCAGCGTCTTCGAGGAGATGTCATCTGGACAGAACCGGAATATGAAACCAGCAATTCGACAACTGCGTATCTACCGAAAGAACAAGCCACAAAAATGGATGAGTTTAATTTTTACATGTACCAACCAGCTTTGGCAAACAACGTTCATCGATTCTTCTCCGGTCTCTCATCCTTGTTCACGCCTCAATCCAGGTTCGTGAGGGGTGGCCATGAGGGATTTTTTAGAGAACCACATGAAGTCTGGAAATCTCGTAATGTGAAGAGAAAGTATGGTGTGTGTAATCAACAACTTTCGTACACACCACTGTCTCACCAAGTCACGCACTCTCTCGTCGATGCCGTCAAGATTCCATACAATTCCAAGCAAAAGATGAGATCTTTCAGTGTCCCGGAAAACCACTTTCCTCTGGCGTTGCCGCTCAGGTCTACACGATCAGTTCCTAGTTTGTTGGAGGCTTGGCCACAGAGGAAAAACTGGTACCTGCCTCCTCATTTAGGTGCTGAGGAAAATCCGGAATGCGGTAGAAGCCAACAACATAGCGGCATGATAAGAATGCATCACCCAACAACCAGAGAACATGTTTATCCATGCAACACGTGTGGAAAACATCCCGAGAGATTTTATTCCAGACGGCTACACAGCCAACCAAAATATCCCAGTGTACACTTCAATAGATTACACTCCACAAATACAGTGTCCACCTCATCGTACAATGTGTCTTGTAACTTCAACCGTCAAATCTCCAATTCGAGATGTGCTCGGACGGAAAGCATGTTTCATTCGAATCCAAACCCACCTACAACCCGGTTTTGGACGCACTACCCGATCACCGACCTGCCCAGCATCTCTGATATGTACGACGATAGGCGAGATTCCGACTGTTCAGCAGATCACGATGATACGTCCGAACCGGAAACAAACTGCGTTCTCAATGAATTTGGTGCTTACTCACAACCCGCTGGGCGAAAGTTTTCCTCATCAGCTGTCCCAGACACGATTAACACAGGCCGGGGAATCGTTAACTACGGTTATGACAAAGATGAAATTCGACGTGCTGAACTATCGTTTTGTAGGAACCGTGTGGTTGAAAACTGCCCTTCACCGAATCGCAGTGTGTCATGCCCTAAACAGCTGACTTCTGAAAGAAAGCGTGCTTCGGTTTGAACAAGTCTGTAAACCATGTATATATCACAAGCATTTTTTAGCTAATTTTATGCACTACCTTGTTTGACATTTAGACGATTTGTGTTTTCCTTTCCTTATTACACTTTTTGCAAACACCTGGTTGCTGCGGCGGACACGTGAACGCACGAAATCGTAAGTTTTCGGGGTAGACTGGACAAAGTGTATCTCGTCCGAATGGGTCGGGGTGCCAAAGGAATATTGAACAATCGTTTTAGATTAGAAGCAGCAGGCGAAATCAGGGGGTTATCTCTTTGAGCAGGCTCCAGCGTACGTATAGCGGAAATAGGTGTATCAAATTCATTCGATTTTCGCTCTGCCCATTGATTGAGACGACCCCATATTCATTGCCTATCAGTACATGTTCACCCTCCTTATTCAGGTGGAGGGCTCCAAAGATAAATAGTAAACAAATAGTATTTGGCCGAAACACACCTTTCTCTGATTCCCGAAACTCCTGTTCTTCTGGGGTAAGAGAGAATTTAATATGCCGCTGGCTGATCACTGATGACCGGTCAGAGGATGGAACCGAATTTTGGCTAGGAATCACCTCTCGTATGTGAGCGCAGCACACAAAACAAATTGAGCAGGCTCCAGCGTACGTATAGCGGAAATAGGTGAATCAAATCCATTCGACTTTCGCTCTGCCCAGTGATTGAGACGACCCCATATTTATTGCTTATCAATACATGTTCACCCACCTTGTGGATGGGGGGGGGGCTCATAAGATCAATGATAAACAAATTGTATTTAGCCGAAACACACCACTCTCGGATTCCGGAAATCCCTATTCTTCGGGGTAAGAGAGAATTTGATGTGTTGCTGGCTGATCAATGCTGGCCGGCCAGAGGATGTAACAAAATTTGGGCTGGAAATCAACCATCGTAGTTCAGAACAACACACAAATGAAACTGCCAGATCTAGACATCATAACCGTAACCTGCCTCCCCATCAGTAGTATCACCGTAACCCCAGAACTATACATCACAACCGTAATTTGTCCACACAATCGCGTCATACACAGCACAGGTGTTCACCTATAAATTATCACACTTAACGTATCTAGAATTCCCACCTGCACTTCAGTCAGGTTACATTTTCAGCTGAACAGAACGATTTGTGATCACCGGCTTTGGAACTTGAAGGTAAAAAAATACACGGAATGAATGGATAGGTTTTACCAATACAAAGCACCCAAGTGGGACTGGATCACACCTGGCTGACGTGACTGAAGCAACTGCACGTGAGCTCTTTTACGCAGCAACCGATAAACAGGAATTCAGGCAGATAAACTTGGTTTGCTAGTCAGAATTTGTTGGCTAAAAATAGAAGTCAGCTGACTGATCGAACGAAATGTCTGAACCGAAATGCTCCAGCCAAGCTGAGCAGAAAAGTTCAGACACAACATGTGACTCAGCGAAGATACTGAATGAATCTGGCAGATGAGTGCATTTTTCGGCGATTTATGCCCTATTGAGTTGAGTAGCTTGTTACCCTACTTTATTGCCTGCCAGGAAGCGACAAATGTGGCGTGTACTGATGGCATAACAGTTTTGTTTTAGTGGTACTCATGCATAATCCAAGGGTCTAAATACTCACTTCCATAGATGCATAATCCAGTCACTCCGAATTCAATCGAAATATGTCGGTTCAGGTGTAACAGCTAAACAAGAGCATGCAGGAAAATGCCGCATGCTGAGGTTAGAATTGGGCAGCCCAAATAGTATGGTGGACTGAACAACGCTTCCTGTTTTCAGACATTATACCCTTATAGCAAAAGCTGTGACATTTGGGGCCAAATTATTAAATACCAGCTCTGCAAACGGTACCTCGTACAGCAGATCAACAGGCAAACTGCTTTTGTTGGACCTAAATGCCCCCTCATCTCGCACGTGCCAGTTATTCAATCCCGCCAACGCAACAAAAGCAATTTAAAACATGACACTGTTTTGGGGTTCCTCGGCAACCTGCTGTGCAGAAAACCCAATTGGATTAACGTTAAAAAAGAGGACAGATGAGGTACCAAATAAACCCTGGGTCACAGTTATATTACAGTACGAATCTGTAAGAGTTGCGTGTTTCCCGCTACTCAGATAACAATATGATGACCACAAATGCACTTGGTTGGAAGACCGAGGCAGGTGAGCCACGGTTTCGCTTGTCTATCTGTGGGTGACTCTAAACAAAGCGTGGACAGCCGGCTTGTGTGTTTCAACTAGCCTTAAGGGGAAGACTACAGCGGCAGAACGAGACAAAACGGATTAAAGACAGGCAAATGTAGTTTCGTGATTTTTAATGGCGGCACAGTGTTTCGATGCCCAATCAAGCTCCAAATGAAACGTGGCTTTGCATATTCTGTCGGAGAATCCTTGACCTTGGCGTTTATTTGTTGCCTGACTTTTCTGCATGTGGCACTAAAAACTCGGAGATCGCAGTGTGTGCAAAAATAGTGCAGTGTAATCAGTATCTTCTTTTGATTGCATGTCACTTACTCTAATGCTACGCGAGTTTATTTCTGCCGGGGTAAAACCTAATTTGCCTTTTGGGCCAAAAGTACAGTCTGGGCTTCTGACTCCCACTGCGCACAGCAAGTCCAAAGTTAGGACCTTTGATTTTGAGAGTATTCCAGCCACACTGGAAAGTGCTGTAGTGGTGACGGTCAACCGTCGCAAGGTCGAAGTGTGTGGGTTCACTGGTGACCTTTGCTAATCCATCCTTTCTCAGGGGAATACAGAGTCCTACTTTCATAAATATGGTTTCAAACTCTTGTCACGCTAGACAGCATGAGATCATGTCCGGAACACCTCGTATGAGGGCTCTTCATATTACGAGATTTGTTGCATCACGTCGCCTTTTTGCAGATGAATTTGAGGAACTGAGAATGATAGAAAGACTTTTTGTCCCGTAATTCATTACTCCCGTTTCATAAACTCGCTTCATCTAAAATATCCATCTCGAAAATTCTTTTGGTCCCACATCACTCAACAGGAAAACGAAAAAAAGCATAAATTTGAGTGAACCTAGTGCGATGGCCACCTCCGTGGCAAGTCAACCAACTCCGCTCCAGTCGTTCACTCTGCGCCTCTTCATTGTTTCGCCCTGGCCGGTGGCTATGAGCTGCCAAAATGTTTTCAGTTCTAAAGGTGACCGCCGATTTCCGGGCACTTGTTGCCCTGTGGTCCGCCCGGCACCAATTCCCAAGTGAAGTTCCAGTAGCACTCGGATCCTGCTCCATTCGCATCACTTTCTTCCTTAACGTCAGGATGCGTCCAGACGTGAAATGCACATCTCTAAAGCACCAGGCTTCCCAAGTTCACCATTGGCACTACACGCTTCAGATAGCAGGTGCGTTGGCAAAGCTCATCGAAAACGGCTTGGCAGCATGCGACCAGTGGAGGGGGTGTGAAACTGTCCATAAATATAGTTTACTATCCTTCGGTAGGGATATTTTTCTGACAATCACGAAAAAAACTCGCCATGGGATCCAATCACATTCAGTCTATTTTGAGCGACTAGTTATATTTGGTTCTGCATACCGTTGTCAAAAAAGTTGGTTTAGTGTATGAGTGGTCCTCCATAATACAACCCCCCCCCACTAGGAATGCAATTCCCCTCTTAGTAAAGAGCCACTAAGACAAATCAAATACTCTCGCTCCAGAATGGGTTGGTAAATAAACACTTCAAGCGATGCTTTCATCCTTCATCTTCTCTCTACCGAATGATGTTAAAAGGTCTGGGACTATCCACCGAGCATATCCAAGTTGACATCCGTAGCTTTCTATGTGGATGAGTAAGAAATCCTGCGACTCCTGACAGTGGGGATACCAGAGACCCAAGGATCGTTAGCTATCAAACATTCAGACCATCTTGGGATCTGAATGATAGAACGCCGTGCCAACATTGAAGGGAACGGTCACCAGCTGGCATCCTGGTGTGAGAATGCCGCTTGACACCACTTAGACTACTGCGCTAACGTGTGATCTACGTACCTGAGGAAGGACGTTGAGTTGCTAGAATCTACATGGAGAATGGCAACCAGCTGTTTTGCTTGCATAAAGAACAGACTCTATCGGGACTGACCATACTGTTTTTGAGCACTACAGCCTTGGACCTTACAAGATTCTGAACCTGGAGGGTTAGTTTTGGAACTTAATTGAAACGGCTTGTACATTGGAAAAACGGAACAGATTTGAAAGAACAAAGCAAAATTTAGAGGTTGGTTGCCAAAAAGAATTCCAGAATATCGTTGTGCTCTTTAGGAGGGACAAACAAACTTGACGTGATTTAAGAAGTAATCGTGAGTGCCACGTGAAACTACTCTCCAAATGCAGTTCCCTAATCTCTTATGGGGTTTGAGGGTAAGCGGGTATGCCATGTATGTGAAAATGATCATTCCATGAACACAAATGCCTTAACTTATGATTCGACTGAAAGATATCTTGCAATGCATCCATACTTTTCGTTTATTACTTTATAGCCTGTAAATTGCCATTTTATTCCACGGGGTCTGCATCACAGAAGAGATGAGATTACCTATTTGATGGTCTCGTATCAAGCATAGCCTCAGTATTGCACTCCATACCCTTCACTATCGGGGATTTGTGGTGAGTGTTGTTGAAGATGCGACCATTTTTTTCTCCTCATATAACTGACGATATGCGAACAGACCCTGTTTATGGCTAACTAAAAATGTGTAGTAAGCTTACCGATTCCTCTGACCCACTTGGGCATCTGTGTGTCCGTAATTACTCATTTTTCTCCTTTCCTATTTTTACTGTGGGTGGGGGGCGTGGTGTGCACCCGAACGCGAAATCGCTTGTTTCTGCTCTCACTAGTAACTAGCGCACAAGCTGTTTTAGTTGGCTTCACTGCCGATGTAACACTGCTAATACACACTGCACAACCAGCACAGAAATGTTCAGGTAACAGTAAGATAACTTTTAAATCAAGCTTACCTCCTGAAGACGAAGCTAACCTGTGGC